TAATAAATAAGAAAGAGAAATGCATAAATTTTCAAGAAATACGAAGATTGTTGTTTTAGTGCGTAATGTCATTTGTGCACATGTTAACCGCTAACTTTTATTTAAACTGAAATTTTTCAAGTTTTTATGGTAAGTGAGTCAATTTTTTTCGTTTTCTGTATAGTTTATAAAATAAAAAATTAAATATTTATTAAATATTAAATATATTGAATATTAATTTTAAATTTTATTAAATATATTGCATATTAATTTAAAAATTTTAATATCTATGTGTATTTTCATCATCACATTAAAGTACCAATAAATGTTGCAGTACAGTGAAATATTATTAACAACTACCGGATTTGAAAAAAAAAGTATTATTTTCTGTTAACAACAAACTGTTGAATATAAACTGTATGTTAAATACGCGCTAACATCGTTATAAGTGCGTTCCGAATATTATCATTAATGTTTATTATCATTATATTTCGATCTATCATCGATTAGCGATTGGAAATCCACCATTTATTCGTTAGAAATTTTTGGAATAAAAGAATATCAATAAAGAATACAGTTTTCTACAAAACAAAGTATCTCTTTCGAAATTTGTACGCTGAACATTATATTTTATTTTTTGTTATACATCTAATGATATTATATATAATAATATTATTATTAATGTCACCTATGTAAAAATAACATAAGAATTTATTCTTTATTTGTATTTTACACATATTTTAAAGAAAACGTTAATAAGACACCTACATTTCTCTCAGGCACAATAATAAATTAGAGAAAGTAATACTGGAGTAATACCAATTAATTGTGTATATCCAATTATTATTATTTTTCATATATTTTTTACACATTAATTAATATTGACGTATTTATATGTGTTATCTGTGATATATCTTTTTCGCACAAGTACATGTTTTTAAATAAACAATATGAATTATTTATTTAAAAAGTAGTATCGTATTTTAACTTTTTAATTAATATGATGATATTGTATCTTAAAAAATAATATTTATGATATACTCGACTATTATCAATAATGTAAGAATTACATGCTTGTTATTATTAACTGTTGATCCGAAAGGGTTTACAGAAATACTCACAGATGGTAGCGGTTGAATCCTTTGTGTACTGAGCAAGCGCAAAATCATATTGGTTTGGTATAATCGTGAAGAACGATTCAGTCAAACGATAATTTTTGTGCCGTGAACATCAATGAATGTTAACAAAGGTAGAATGTCTCGAAAAAAGGCAAAATGTTTGCATCGCGATATTCTATTAAAAACAGAATTAAATCATATAAAGTACTTGTATGATATAATGTAATATATAAAAATCAAGTTTTTTTTATCATACGTGTATTAATAAAAACTTTATTTTGATTTGAATTTTAGAAATCTTCTAAAAAAGTTCATTTTTGTTGAATTACTGAATGTTATGTTTGTGTAAAATTAAAGAAAAGCTTATATAATCATATAACTTCTTTCATATAGAATATTATTATATACATCGATAATTATATTTATAGTTAGTTTTCTTCATTTTCTTCATTTTCTTCTAGTCATACTAGTTTATCATATACTTTATTTTTTGTTTTTATTTCATAAACAAAACAATATTTCTTTTTTTAAAGTAACTGTATTCTATAAGCCATTTAATTACGTTATTAAATATTTATTTACAAATTTAGTAAAAAAGTAAATATTAATATTAATATTTTTGAAACAAATAATTGTTTATTAAAGAAAAGAAATATTTGATTTGTGATTATAATAATTTATTGCAAAAATTCGCAAAAAAGCATCACAGATTCTTCACAGAGGCTTCTATAGATTTTCCATAAAATTTTATATTCCACGAATGTTTGTGTGAATGGGAAAATAAAATTTTATATGCTGGTACGAAAACGTTTGTTTTCGACATATAGAATTACTGATTGATTTTGAATAGTGAAGTTGATGCACATAGTAAACAATTAGCTGTGCACGAATCATCCTTTATTTCTCTCTAGTATAATAAAGAAAAGCAGTAATTCTTTAAAAACCGAAATGTAATAAAAGCAGCAACTATTTATTGCAATAATAATATAAAATTTTGTGCATAGCGATCTTGTAAAGACAAACTTGTGAAGCAAATATAAGTGTGCATATAAAAATAGTGTAATGTTGAAGAAACATTATTATTAAAAAATTTTAATTTTGTTTTAATAGAATCACTTTACATTAGTATAATATTATTTATTTTATTATTTACTGCTTTAATACATGTTATTATGTGTACAAGCAATAGAGCAGTCTGCTAAAATTTATATATAGATATGAATCCAATCAAATTCTATAAAAAGTAATATAAAAGAAGTGTTCCCCTACGCTACAATTACGGAAAATATAAACATTTAAATAGCTTCTAAATTCACTAATAAGAATAATTATTTGTAGTTAAAAAAAATGTTAAAAAATACTGTAACAAATCGATATCTAATTTAAAGTTAAGCAATGATATTTCTTTTAAAATTTGATTTATTAGATTTGAATTACGTGTTTACCCTGACTCGCCAATGGTTATGGATATTTGGCATATGGCCCGATCCACATATCCCTTTAAGTGAATTTCGCCGGCCAAGTATAAGATTCATTATTGTTACGTGTACTGTGAGCTTTTACGTATCAGGTCCTCAGATAATGAATGTGCTTCGTGCTTGGGGTAATCTGTCTCGGATACTGGAAAATTTTGTCTCGGCGACTTTTAGCTTAATGGGAGTGAGCAAATTGATTGTTACCTGGTATCATGGCGAAAGTAAGTTCATTTTTCACAAATATATATCATCACAAATATCAAATGGATTTATTTTTATCGTTTATGATAAATGTTAAAGTTATATTTCCCTTATTTAAGCACGAAATGCTCGGACTATTCGATAATCTTCTTATGAAAAAATGCTTGCATCTGTAATTTATACTTATATTAATATATTGTATTAATTTAGAAGCACTTCGGCCGCTGATGGTATCTATCATGACCGATTGGATAACTTCTACGAGCGACTGGGAACGAAATACTATGTTAAAGATTTCAAGACGTGGCAGAAGTTTATCCTTTAAATGTTGTTTGTCCGCGGCGTGCTTGCTTACATTTTACCTTTCTTTGCATTTACTGAAATTCTTTAAAACTATAAACCAGCCTCAACGGAATCTCGTCTACCGATTAGGAAATCTCCAAAACAGTCCATTCTACGAAATCACTTATTTTATTCAACTATCCGGAGGAGCATATTCAATTCTCGCTAATTACACCATTGATAGTTTTGTTTCGATACTCGTACTACAAGTGTGCGCGCAACTGATAAATCTACGGACAACGCTGAACAATCTGATCAATGAATTAGTCAGCAAATCTATATCTTCCTCGAGATTTAGAGAAGGTTTAGCTGCGATCGCTGTACGACATAATCATCTCATCAGGTACGTCAGAGAATATCTGGCGCATGATATTTCCATTATTTAATACTATGAATTTATAATATAATCATTTCTTAATAAGAGATCATTTTTGAGAAAAAAATTTAAAAATAATGCTAACACTTATCCCTCTCATATCACACAAGAAAAGTATTCACAAGGTATTAATAAAAAAATTTATTATCAATCTTTTTTTGAAAATATATGCTGGTTTTAAGGACTAACAAGAAAGAAATTGGACTATTAGATTTAAAAATAAATAAAATCGATTTAAAAAATGATAAATCATTATAACAATGATAAAATCATTATAAATGATAAAAGATATTACATTAAATTATAAATTAGGATAGATTCAAGATATAAATTCAACATATAAATAATATAAAAAAACAAGTTAAATTTTTTTAAAGATTTGTATACATTGAGATCCAAGTTATAAGTCGTTAACGTATAATAAGTGAGTACAAATTTTCAAGGAACGCAAAAATCATCGACGGCTGCTACAGTCCAGTGTTATTTATGCATGTGTTAGCTGCTACTTTTCAGATATGTGTCATAACTTTTCAAGTTTTCACAGTAAGTACGATTACGTATACATATATATTTCTTCTTACATTTTTTCGAAAACAAAATCAAAGAACTAAATGTGTAGATATTAAATTCATTAATCCCTGCAAACACAGAATATAATATTTATATAACTGTATACAGGATGTCCCAAAATTTATGACTCCAAATGTTACAGCAAGAAAGTTTTCGAAAAATTAAATAAAAAAGTTATTTATAAATTTTTATTTTAAACAATAGTTTCTGAGATATTGTATAACGGTTTAAATACAGCCAATTACAGATTACATAATTTAAATAGTCACCTATGAGTATTAATGAGCGTGTTGAAATTAGCATTCACCAGCGCTCATTAAATTGCTCATTGCATGCGTAACTTTAAGTACAGATGGCCGTCTAAACTTAGTATGTAATTGGCCATATCTAAACTTTTATTACCCCAAAAATTACTGTTTAAAATAAAAATTTTTTAATAACTTTTTTACTAAAGTTTCCAAGAACTTTGTTACTATAATATTTTAAATTTTTTTTTAGAAGACTGTATAATTGCTATATAATTATACAACTATTACATAACATTATATAATGGTTGTATTCTCTATTTGCTGGAAATAATATTTTATTATATAACATAATATATTGTGTTCACAACATAATATATTATATTAGATTTGCACATTGCTTTATTACATACAACAATTAAAATGTAAATTTTCAGATAATAACAGATAATATGAAAGTGCCTGTTATTAAAATGACTTTTTTGTCATTTTATTTTGTTGTTCTATTGACAAATATGTATGCATACTGCTACTCAGCTGAAAGACTGATGACGGAGGTGAGATAATTAAGTGAATTAATTTGACCGAATCATGTGTTCGAGAGAGTTAATAAATTATCAAATATATATATACACTATAAAAGGCAAAAATTTACTTTCACTTTTTAAATAAAGTAAAAATTTTATATACCGTGAAAGTTTTTGAGTTTAATTGTATGAAACTGTTCATAATGAAAAATGAAAAAGTTCTTAAAACATTCATGATCAACTCACTATACGAAAAGAAAACCCATGTGAAACTTTGTAATTTTCAGAGCACCAAAATGACATACGGCGTGTATGAATGCAAGTGGTATGACATACCACCGAAAGACGCAAAAGACTTAATGTTCATTGTATATCGATCTAGGATTCCCCTTAGATTGACGATTGGAAAATTCGGAATATTTTCGTTAGAAATGTTCGGAACAGTAAGATAAATTTAGAAGAAGAAAATATATTATTTTGTTTGTACGCGACTTGTCTATATTAATTTGTGTGTATTTCTATAGAAACATTTCTTTCTATTAATATTAAATTTTATTTTTATATTACATTTTTATATAATATATATATTTCATATATTACGTACGTTTATAGCATATACATCGTAATTATATAAAATCGTTTAATTTATCTATATTTTATATTTTGTTTAGGTTCTGAAAACATCAATGGGATACCTATCGGCATTGTTAGCAGTAAGAGATTAAAGAAAAAGATACTAAAGAGATAATAACAAATCAATTTCGTCACTACGACATCAATTTTTATATAACAAAGTGAACAGGTTTATACGCACTGCCTGCAACACTTTCGAATTGAAAAAATACACATTTTTGCGCAACATGTCAAACTATTATTCGACTATTAATTGTCGAACTATTTATTTCCTCCATTTAAAGGACAAAAATTATCAGTTTTATAATATTGCAATAATACATATCTCTATTAAACAATTAAATAATAATAATTCTTGATCATCGAACACATTAGCAGTACTTATATAACTAAAACTCACATATTTTGTCAATTGCAATAAATTTTTATTTAAATCGATTCGCAAGTATCGTTAAGTGTTCAATACGAAGTAGCAACACACTCTGGCTTGACTTTAGGGTCTTTTACGGAGGGTAGATCAACTTTCTGCATCGGAGCATGCGTGATCTTTAGGGAAGGGATGGAAAAAAGTCGATCGTAAAAATGTTTCAGTCGTTGCATCGTTGACATCCGTATAAGTATCGATGGATGCTGATCGAGGTATGCGTGAATAGAGATGCACATGTGCTCACGTGAATTGTAGATAATAAAATTGTTATCTAGACATATTCCTATCTAAATTCACAAGAGAATTAGAGAAGAGAATACAAAACCGTTTAAAATAACTTGTTACACCTATATTTGTGAAATATGGTGCGCTGCTAATTGCTGAGTGTTTAAAATAATTAAGAAATATTCCAAGTAGACAACAGATCATGATAACATCATTTTAACGTTAAGATGAATCGTGACTGATCAAAAAGTGACTTTTAATAATCATTTTAGAACCATGTTCACGCCATTTTGATGTCATGATGACTTTATGTTCTGCTTGGAATGTATCCTTTTTTGAAATTGTTTATTTTAAGGAAGCAAAATTATTTTATAAGACGCGTCGACGTCTTCCCAATATATACTTTTAGCATATTGACAGTATCGAATTTCTTCCTTCGTTGATTTTTGAAGCAAAATTCGATCTGTATAGACTTGAATTTCGCGATCGGATGGAATCGATTCAATTTGAGCCTCGTCGGCATCTGGCCGGATCCGTTACAAAATCCTAAACAAAAGAGCGGACTCTCCCGATGTCGCTTTATGCTAGCCAGTTTCTTCATGCTAGGCTTTATGTGTATACCGCAATCGGTGAATTTGGTATTCATTTGGGGTAATGCGGATATGATGACCGAAAACCTGGCGACCGCTAATATCCCAGTCGCGAATTCTTTCATGAAAGCATTCACCATCTGGCGTAAAAGGAAAGGTACAAAGAATAGAGAACGTTAGAAATAGCAAGAAAATTAATTTTTTGAACAATAGAATTATCTTTTATAAATTTTAAAGCTTTAATTTTTATAAATACTAATCAGCTACTTAACAATCTAATTTCCATGTTTATGAAACAACGATATAATGACAGTAAGAAACGATATTTTTATTATTTTTTTCTTATCGATATTCTTAATTATCTTTTGTAATCGTTTCGTACAACAATTTCGTGTCGGCATTTCGCGGGATTATGTCCAATAAAGACATAATTTGGCGAAATTGTCAGCGTAATATCTATCTAAGCAGAACATATCATGATAACGTCAAAATGACATTAAAATGAATCACAAATGACTGAAAAATGATTTTTAATGGTCATTTTGGAGCCACTTTGACATAATTTTAATATCATAATGATTTGTTGTTCTGCTTGGATAGTGATAAAATTATAAAATAAACCTATTTACATAAATTCATTAAAAAATATAAAAAGAAAATATTTGTTTAAAGTTTTGAAGTTGTTGGTCAACTTCTTCTACCAAGATTGGCATATGTCACAAACGTTTGAAGAAAGAACAATTATGCTGAAAAATGCCAAACTTGTGAGAAAGATATCCATATGGTGCACAATACTAACGCAGACTATGGTGACCATTTATATCGTTCTAAGGATCTCGACGATCATCAGATTTTCATCTAATGACCCGGCTCGACCCATGCTTTATACGGCCTATTTTCCTTTTGATATTACTAGAAGTCCGATTTTTGAACTGATTTGCGTATGCCAGATGCTATCTGCTTATAGCGCAACGGTTTCTTATACTGGTAGCGACAGTTTCATTTCCATGCTAGTACTCCACGTCTGCGGCCAATTCGAAAACTTGCGCGAGAGGCTAAAAAATCTCGTTAACGATCCAAACGGAATAAAAACGTCTCAAGAGTTCAAGAGTGAACTGAGACAAATTGTAATGAGACATGAACATTTAAACTGGTTTGTATAATTCATAGAAAGAAAAACTTTTATCCATTTTATGCTAAAGAACGCAGGATTGCCTCATACGAAATAAGTTTACGTATAAAAATACATTTCTTTATACTGCAGTAGATAATTGTTTAGTATTAAAGTTATTAGGACAGTCAAATAAAATGCAGCGGATAAAAAATTCAGATATTGAAATGAAGCAATATATTAACAATTGTTATAGTTGGCAACACTTTTTCTATGTGAAATCAGACGAGGCCTGTTTGTAAAATTTCTTGGGCTTGTACGATCAAAACAGACAGTTTCGATCCATGCTGCGTCCGACGGAAATTTCAGATTCTTCATCAGAACTCGATTCTGTAATTTCAAACGACAGTTCGATATCGTTATGTTATCTTTGGACAGCTTTTTCACTATATATAATATCTGCACAACAACAATATAAAAACCGACACTGTCATTAAAAATTAAAGACGGGATACACAGGTCTCCAAAGAGTGGAAATCGCATAAAAACCACAGTTGTCGGTGAGAAATAAACTGAAGCACCCGGCCTACAATCCAAATTTGTTGCCATGCGATTTCCACATCTCTAGAAACTCGAAGAAAAATCTGAAAAGTAGGAAATTTCCGTAACAGTGCAGGAGACTGTTTGCGAGTTAGTAACGTACCATTCCAAGAATTTTATGAGCAGGACATCCATCGTCTAATTTCACAATAGAAGTAGTATCTTGCTAGTCACGATGATCATTAACATGTTAGCAGATTTCATTGTCTAAATTTTACATTCATTTCATTTTACTGCCCTAATAAGTCAATTATTTAAATTACTAATAAATTTTTTCAAATTTTTTTCTCCGTTCACATAATTATATAGAATACACATAACAAATTTTCAAGTTTAATTTTTTCAATTCAATTACCTGCCATGTCATTATGTTCAAATAAAGAACATTTGTTAATATAAAATTTATATTTTGTCTAATATTTTGTCTAATATAATATGGTCTATATAACAAGAAATTGTTTATGCAAATGTAATTTGCAAAATATTAGCGTATCATAATTCAATATAAATCGATAAAAATGAAAATACTAATCATATATGTCAAGGTTTGCAAAAACAATCGAGGATTCCTTCAACATGATAATGCTAATACAGATACTTTCTTGTACTGTTCAATTATGCTTTCAAGGATTCCAGGTTTTTACGGTGAGTTGGTTCGGAGAACAGTATTTTATCAAATATTGTTTATACATTTATTTCCTTTCTAATGAAAATGTAATATTAACATTTTGTTAACATTACGTTTGATTGTATCATGTTGCTGCGCACAAATTTTTTCAATTAATTCAGAAAATATGAAAATGTGAATAATAAAAATCAGAAACATTTTAGATATTAATAAAGGAAGAAGAAAACGAATCGATGACCTTCCAATTAATTTTTCTAATCATTTTCGTAGGATTTATTCTAGTTCACTTGTATATTTATTGTTACGTTGGTGAAATGCTACTTGTTCAAGTAAGATGCATAAATATATATGCATAATGTGCTTTCATGGATATTTTTTTCAGAAGTGCTAAAAGATTTGCAGGTTATCGCCGTGTCGTAATCCATTGTTAACATTATTAATGACATTAGCAATGAATTATGATACAGCGATAACCTGCAAACTTTTTGACACCTCTGAATATACGAGTATATTATATATTGCACTTCATTTCTTTGTACAACATATCAACAAACAAATTGAGATTATTTGTCGTTTTTTTAACGTTATTTTGACATTAAAGACGCTAAAAATACATAAAAATGACGACAAATAACGTGAGTTTATTTGCAGGGATAAGAATTTATTGCAAATATTAAACATACATATACAATATATGTACGTTATATCTTAATTTGTAAGACGATAAAAAAATCAAATGTAATTAATTTTTCGGTTGATAAATTCCTTATTTATGATTTATTAATCAAAAAATCAACATTAGCTTTCATTTTTTATCGTTTTATAAATTAAAGTATAACTGCTTGAAAAAATAATATTACACTTTCTCATCAACTAGTAAATTAAGAAGAAATATATTTACTGTAAAAAATACTAATCGTACATTAAAATTATTATATAAATTTAGACACTAATTATTAAATATTAATTAATGACATTTAAGAGTACTGAGATAGGATTCTCTGCGTACGAATCGAACTGGTTTAATGTATCAGGAAAGGAAGCCAGAAATCTTCTATTTATCATACATAGATCGACAGCGCCTCTTTGCTTAACTGCTGGGAAATTCAGCACATTTTCTTTACAGATGTTCAGTAAGGTAACAATATTGTATAAATGATTATTTTATAAATAATTACATTGTAAGTTATATTGTCTAACATGTAATATCTGCAATATTGTAGAAAAATTCGTGATTAATTCATAAATTAATAGATTTATTAATTGATCGATCAATCGATTGATGAATCAATCAATAAGTCAATAAATCAATTTATGAATCAATCAATAAATTAATCAACATTATGATAAATCAATAAATCAATCAATCGATCAATCGATTCACCCATTCATTCATAAATCAATCGTGATATTTTTCTGATATTATCGATTACAAACATTGCAAAGGATTGATTGAACAATCATTGAACTGATTGATCTATTAATCAATAGAGTGATTGATTCATTGATTCTATTAGTTACGCAATTGTATATGAATATGTAAGTATGTTGAATTTTCTGTCAAATGTCATTTTATTTCAGATTGTGAGAACTTCGCTCGGTTATCTCTCAGTATTACTTACGGTAACCGAACGGAAAGAATAATCCGTGACTAAAATTTGCTATAATTATGATAATAATTGTTGTACAGTTATACTATTACTATTAAATAAAACAGAATCAATGCGACACTAAGAATACAATATTTAGCTTCTGTTTTTAATATGCAACAAATTATCTGCATCATATTTTATAAGTGTGTTTAAAAGAATCGGCAAATGTTTATATTTTAAAATAAGACTGAAACAAATCAAGAATTTTAAAAAGTTGATTACGAAACTATTAAATAAATAAATGTTATTGATCCTTATCAAACTGATAATGATATAATGTTTAATATTATAATTAATGAAATCAATTATCGCTGACAGTAATTCATTCAATTATTTCACGCACTTGTAAATATATCATATAACACAAAGTAAACAAAATTGTACTGAAAAAAATCATATTCGATATTCTTTTTTTTGTTATTTCAAATTAGATAGCAAAAATAGAGAAACACGCGATAAAAAAATCAAACTGAGACATTCGTCATCACTTCCGTATCAGTATCTTTCATATTCATCAGGGTATATCGATCGGGATATCGATCATATAATTTTCTCCTTGGGGCAAAAATGTAAAAAATACAAATTTTTGTTATTCAAAGTTAACGGAAACATTTTCCATCTTTTTTTTGCTCTAAGAGAAAAGTTACATGATTAGTACCTTGACGTCGATGGTCATTGTTTTAATCATCAAAAAGCGATTTAGAGTATATTAGACATATCACGTATACAAAATTTTTCGTATATCTTTTGTTTTGGTATGTCTTTTATTAACAAATACTTCTTCGGAAAAAAAGAAGATAAATTTTTGAGAAAATGTTTGTAATAGACAAATATATATATACATATATATATATATCTTAATCTAATTATCTTATATCTATAATAATTCATGCGTCAAGAATAATATAATATCGAAAATGGCAGAGATAAAACAATAATATATGTTAATGCAATCCGAAAAATTACAATTTTCAGAGCACCAATATGGCGTATATGAATACAAGCGTTATGATCTACCATCGAAAAATGCGAAAGACTTAATGTTCGTACATCGATCTATGATTTCTCATTGACAATTGGAACATTCGGGATCTTTTCATTAGAAATGTTTGGAATAGTAAGACATATGATGTATCTATACATAGATGTATGATGTATTCTATACGTAGAGTAAAGAAAAATACATATATTGCCTTTTCTCTATATGTAATTATACATACAAACATGTACATACCTTTTCTCTATATGTAATTATACATA